TATAGAAATTTTTGCAATACTTGATACATTGAGGTTTGTGAGTCAGATTCTTATCTATTAATAAAATCCCCTGGGACATTCTTTGAATTTCCTATCCATTCTCTTGCCTTCCCCTTTGTGAAGACCATTTTGCTGCGCACTCTCTTTTTTGGGAGAGCGTGGGTTATTATTTGACACCTTGTGTAGAGCCTTTGTCTTTATTTGATCCGCAGGAGAGAGGTGGTTTCCTCCTGTGTGATTTACTGCCTCTGAAAACCCTCGGGAGGGTCAGCTATGTGTTGGTCCACATCAGCACAATAGTAATATAGCATGGGAGCTCTGGTGGCCCAATAGGGAAAGAGTTACACTGCTGACCAAAAAGCAGTGCAACTCTGTTAGCTAGCTACTTTGTGGGAAAAAGAGGGGCAGTCTCCTCTTATACCATTTACGCCTCTGAAAACCCACTGGAGGGCTCAGCTATGAGTTGTTTCCAACTTCATAGCATATAATGTCCACAACAGTAACAAAGAATAGTTGAGTAGCTTCTCCCTTGTGTTTTACATACTACAAGTTGTCAGTTACTATGTGCCATTAAGTCCTCTATAATGCATAGTGGCCCTGTGAACAACAGGTTGAAACCTTACCATATCTGTTATGCTCAGGTAATGTCTTTTTCCCCCAAGAACTGGTATGTCCTGACCAAACACCCAAAGGAAATAAGATAAAGTTTGACTGTCCTTGTCTCTTAAGGAACACCCTAATTGCACTTTCTCCAAGACAGATTTGTTTGTTCTTGCGGAAGTCCATGGGATATTCTGTATTCTTCTTCCCCCCAAACACAATGCAAAAACATTTTTCTTCTGTCCTCCATTTTCATTGCCCTACTGTCAAATGTATAGGCAGTAAATGAAAAGACTGTGGCTTGGATAAGCACACCTTAGTCTTTAAATAACCTCCTTGCTCTTTAGCACTTTGGAGAGGTCCTTGATTGTTCGCAGATTTTCCTGATGAAACACTGCCACCTGACATGTTGATTGTGGATTCATGCAAAATGAAATAATTGACATCTTCATTCATCTATTGTGATGTTACCTTTTTGTCTAGTGGTGAAGATTTTTGTTTTCTTGATAGTGAGATGTAATCTACATTGAAGGCCACAGTCTTTGACTATTTTTTTTTAATTTTTTTTTTTTTTTAATCTTTGACTATTTTTAGTAACTGTTTCAAGTATTCTTCACTTTCTGCAAGCAGGGTTCTGTCTTCTGCATAACATAAGTTGTTGACGAGTCTTCCTTCAATCCACATGCCACATTCTTCTTATAGTCCAGCTTTTAAAATTATTTGCTCAGTATAAAGATTGTGTATGTATGGAGAAAGAATACAACCCTGATGCACACTTTTCTTGATTTTAAACCATGTACTGTTCCCTTGTTTTGTTCAGACAACCGCTTCTTGGTGTATATAGAGGTTTTCCATGAGCACAGTAAATGTTGTGGAATTCCCATATTTCTCAGTGTTATCTATAGTTTGTTACATGATCCACACAGTCAAGTGCCTTTGCTGATCAGTAAAGCACAAGTAATCTGTTTGGGTGCTCTCACGTCAACAGTGGGGTATGTCCTTTGTACCAAGGCCTCTTCTGAATCCAGCTTGAATTTTTGGCAGTTTCCTATTGATGTGCTGTTTTCCAGCCATTTTTTATTCAGCAAGATTTTACTTGCATGTGATATTGAAGTTATTGTCAGTAGTTCCTTTGTTTTGTTTTGTTTTGTTTTGGATCTCCTTTTTTTTTTTTTTAAATGGGAACAAATATGAATCTCTTCCACTTGGTTGGCCAGGTAGCTGTCATCCAAGTTTCTTGGCACAGGCTAGTGAACATACCCAGGACTTTCTCTGTTTATTGAAACCCACTTCTCTTGGTATTCTATCAGTTTCTGGGGCCTGCATGCCAGTGCCTTCAGTACAGCTTGGTCTTCTGTTATTACCATTGGTTCTTGATCATATGCTACTTCCTGAAATAATTCCATATCAACCAGTCTTTTTCTGACATCGTGGCTCTCCATCCATCTTCTTCTGATAACTCCCTGCATCATTCAGGATTTTGCCCATAGAATCCTTCAGTATGGCAACTTGAGGCTTGAATTTGTTGGTCAGTTCTTCCCACTTGAGAAATGCCAAGTATATTCCTTTGATTTTCTAACTCTAGTTCTTTGCACATTTCATTGCAATACTTTCTCTTTACAAGCTGCAATTTGAAATGTTCTTTTTATCTCTCTTACCTCAGAATTTCTTCTTCCTTTTGACTGGGCTCTCTACATTCTAGTGCAAGTTTCAGAGTGTTTTCTAATGTCATTTTGATGTTTTATCTCTCTCCTATCTTTGTCATGATCTTTTGCTTTCCTCCTGGATGTAGGTCTTACTAGCATTGTATGATTCATCTGCTCTTCAGTCATTAATGTTCAGGGCATCAGATCTATTCTAGAGATGGGTGTTTTTTTGTTTTTTTAACTCTGAATGGACATGTTTTGGGGGTGTTTAATATATATACACATATATTTACTGTTTTTAATTAATATTTTTATCATTCATATACATTGTGTTTCATGCATGCATGATGGGATTGACTCAAGGTCATATTTTGGTTCTCATGGAATTGTTTCATTTTCTTCAGCTTTAGTTTGAACTTGCAGAAAAGTAACTGATGGTCTGTTCCAGTCAGTACCTGGCCTGGCTTTGACTACTGTTACTGAGCACCATCTCCATAGATATATTCACTATAATTCCTGTTTAGTCCATTAAGTGGGGTCTGTGTGTATAGTTACTGTTTGTGTTTTTTTTAAAAGGTATTTGCTATGGATAACTGATTAAACAAAATTTTTCCATGCACTCTCCAACCTCATTTCAGTTACCAAATGTGTATTTTCCAGTTAACCATTCCAGGTACCAGTTTTTAATGCATCTTGATTGCATTGTATTTGAGGGAAAATACCTTAGAAGTACTACATGAATGAAGTTTAGTACTTGATTTTAAGTTCAGGGCTCTGTCATTTCCTTAAGGTAATGTGTGACTGCCAGTATGAGCCATAGGCATCATTAGTGCACATATTTTAGAGAAAAACAGAACAAAAAAGAAAATTTGAGACCAAAGTCTATTTCCATTTTGTTTCACCAAGAGAGAGCTTATTAATTTAGGGCAGAATACGTCCATCTGTGATTGTTGTTGTTGATAATGTTGCTAGGTGCCATTGAGTGTGACTCATCGTGACCTAACAACAGATCTGAACCCTGTCCTATCCTGTGCCATCCAGTGTCTGACATACACAGGGCCATTGATGTAGTCACTATGTCAATCCATCTTATTGAGGGTCTTCCTCTCTTTTGCTGATTCTCCACCTTTCCAAGCATGATAGCCCCTTTCAAGGAATAGCTTCTCCTAGCAACGTGGCCAAAATATGTGAGATGAAGTTTCACCATTCCAAGGAGCCCTGTAGCTGTACTTTCTCCCAGACATATCTGTTATTTTGGCAGTCCATGGAATATATTCAGTGCTTTTCTCCAACACCACAGTTCAAAGGCATTGATTCTTCTGGCGTCTGTATTCTTTCAATGTCCAGCTTTCAGCTTTGTAACAAGTGATTGAAAAGACCATGGCCTGAATCAGGCACACCTTAATCTTCAAACTGACATCATTGCTTCTCAGTGATTTGGAGAGATCCCTGACAGCAGACTTGCCCAATGCAGTGTTTCTTGATCTCCCAACTGTTAGTGCCAAGGGTACTGATTGTGGATTCAAGTAAGATGACATTGTTAACTAATCATTCTTTTTTCCATCTATCCTGGTGTTGCCTATTGGTCCAGTGATGAGGATTTTTGTCTTTTTGATGTTGAGATGCAATCCATATTGAAGGATTAATAGTCTTTGATCTTATGCAGTATTTCAAGTCCTCCTCACTTTCAGCAAGCAAGGTTGTATCATCTGCATAGCACAGGTTATTGCTGTATCTTCCTCCAATCCTGATGCTCCATTCCTCTTCACAGAGCCTAGGTTCATGAATGGCTTGCTCAGCAGACATAGTGAATAGGTATGGAGAAAGGCTATATCCCTGACACACAGCCTTCCTGATTATAAACCAAACTGTGTTCCCATGCTCTGTTTGCACAACAGCTTCTAGGTATAGTTTTCACACGAGCATGACAGAATGTTCTGGGATTCCCATTCTTCTCAGTGTTAGCCATAGTTTGTTATGATCCACTCAGTCTAATGCCTGTGCCTACTAAATAAAACGCAAGTATTCTTTACTTTCAGCCAGAATCCATTTGACATCAGCAATGATACGTGCCATGGCCTCTCCTAAACCCCACTTGAAATTCTAGCAGTTCTCAGTGTACTGTTCTAGAAATTTTGGATGCTCTTCAGCAATATATTGCTTGCATGTAATATTAACAATATTGGTCATTAGTTTCCACATTCTATTGGATCATCTTTCTGGGAATGGGAACAAATAGGGATCTTTCCCCATCAGTCAGTTGGTCAGACAACTGTCCTCCAGATTTCCTGGTATAGGCTGGTGTATGGTGTATATGTCTGTAGAAAAGCACAGAACTCCATATGAGCAGTTCTGGGCTTTTTTAAAAAAAATTTTTTTATTTGATTTTATTATTTTTGTGTGCGTGTACCGTCAAATCAGATCTAACTGGTACAGGAGGAGTTTGCCCCTCCTTCCCCGGCAGAGCATCTGGTGGATTCGAACCGTGCACCTCTGGGATTGTAGTTGCAGTTTCTTGCCACTAGGCCACCAGAGCTCCCCCAGTTCTGGGCTTTTGAGTGAGTAAGGGGGGAGAGGCAAGGAAATGGGATTGGTGCCTTTGTCCTGCTCTGATCTGAAATGCTGTTTTTCAAAGCTGAAGGTGAGTGTGGCCCTGAAGAGAGTGAGCATTAGGACTCTGACTCAGTAGGCAGGACCCTTGGGTCCCAGCTCAGAGCAGGCTTCCTGGTAACTGTTCATCACTCTTTTTCACAGCTGCTCCTGACATCACTGGCCATAAACGGAGCGAGAACAAGAATGAAGGGCAGGATGCCACGATGTACTGCAAGTCGGTTGGTTACCCCCACCCAGAGTGGGTATGGCAGAAGAAGGAGAACGGTGGATTCTCGGTGAGTGCGAGGCCAGTTCTGGCTCTGTGTGCTTGCTGGAGTTACTCAGACGTCTGCACTATTTGCCGTGGTAGCTTTACCTTTGGGTGTGTGAATGGCTTCACTTACCCTTCCAGGGATGAGACAGTTCATGTCATGAGCCTGGTCTCCAGCCCTCAGGGATCCCTGTACGTAATTTGTTAAAAGTTGTGTGCTGTCTGGTTGGGGATTAGATTACTTGCTTCGAGGGTAGACACTCAAAGAGTTAGGTAAACAACCCAATTGCAGAATGGGCACAGGATATGAATAGACACTTCACCAAAGACATTCAGATGGAGAACAAACACATGAAGAAGTATTAGCTTGAAGAGAGATGCTAATCAAAACAACTATGAGATATCCTCTCACCCCAGTAAGAATAGCAAAATTTAACAGAACAGCAAACAACAAATGCTGGTGAGATTGTGGAAAAATAGGAACCCTTATTCACTGTTGGTGGGAATGTAAAATGGTGTAACCACTATGGAAGGCTGTATGGCTCTTTCTCAAAAGTTGCAAATAGAAATACCATTTGACCCAACAATTCCACTACTGGGAATATACCCTAAAGAAACCATAATTGACACCCAAGCAGATATATGCACACCCATGTTTACCGCAGCTTTGTTCACAGTAGCAAAGAATTGGAAACAGCCCAAGTGCCCATCAACAAACGAATGGATAGAGAAGCTGTAGTATATTCACACAATGGAATACTATGCAGCACTGAAAAAGAAGGAACTCATGAAATATTATACAAAATGGGTGGCCATGGAGGACATTATGCTGAGTGAAATATCCCGGTCACAAAAAGACAAATACCGCACTGTTATAAAACAGGACTGACATAGAGGTTGAGGAGGGGAACTAAGAAAAGAGGGGATAAATAATGTACATAATATTGAAACAGACGAGGGAGAGAACTGGGTAAAAGGAATATATGATTAGGTATTATTGGAATGACAAGAATCCAGAATAAGAGCTGCATAGTAAAGTGGACTCGGGGTGGTGGGGGCTGGGGGACAACGACTATATAACAATGAAAGAACTTTTTTTTCCAAAGAAAAAAGCAAACTAGGGGGGTAAAGGGGACAGGGAGGAGAATGTGCAACAATGAATGAATGGAATCTCTATAAACTTTGATTAAAATCTCAAAAAAAAGTTAAATCTAATTTTAAACTTTTACTACTACTATTCTAGCTTTTTTCATCCTGACGAAAATACTATTGCTGAAGTAATTTTAATGCTGCTGCTAATCTTTTTAGAGGGAAGACAAGGCACTGAAGGCAATTACTAGTATATGTCTTTTATTCCTGGAACACAGGAAATTAGTTAAAGAATTGAGATCACCCAGTGAGGTCCTACAACCACCTCAGACACTAGGAATCTGATGTCTTTGGCTGCAGAAAAGATTAGCCAGAGTGTGTGTTCCTATCTGTGGTTTCATTCTCCCAGTCAGAGGGAGAGCCTCTTAATCTGTCTCTTTGATTTAATGTTTGACCAATCTCCTTTTCTGTCAGAGGAAGTGTCACATTGACATCATTCCTCCTAGCTTAGCTTCAAGCTTTGTATGCTTAGCATAAACCTTTCAGATACCCTTATTAACTGTTAGTCTTCACATTCAGAGATCATTTCATTTAACTACTGTGCAGAGGAAGAAAGACACTCAGAAAGTAACATAGTAACCACAATAAATTAGTGACAAAATCAAGGGTCAAATCCAGTGTCTTCATCTAAAAGCCATTATTCTTCGTACCCAATATAACATCTCAGTAATAAAGTGGTTACAATTCGGCTGGTCCCAGCAGCATGGCGGCGGGCAGAGAAGGCAGTGCCAGAGCAACCCAGCTTCGCGAAGGCTCTATGCGCACCGCTGCCCACAGGAACCCGGCACGAGCCCTCCCTGCCGCTAGCATGCCCAAGAGGAAGGTCAGCTCGGCCGAGGGTGAGGGTGCGGTGAAGGGAGGAGACCGAGAGATCAGCGAGGCTGTCAGCTAAGCCGCCTGCAAAAGTGGAAATGAAGCCCAAAAAGGCTTCCTGCTGGAAAGGAGAAGTCTTCTGACAAAAAAGTGCAAACAAAAGGGAAAAGGGGAGCAAAAGGAAAACAGGCTGAAGTGGCTAACCAAGAAACTAAACAAGATTTACCTGCAGAAAATGGAGAAACTAAAAACAAAGAGAGTCCAGCCTCTGATGAAGCAGAAGAAAAAGAAGCCAAGTCTACCATGTCTTATCAGTGGTCCCTGTATCTCCTTTCTTGTACAATCCAGAGGAAT